CGCTTCCTCCGGCTGCGATTTGGCAGCTGGAAAAGAGCCGGTGGGAGGATGGGGCTGAGGACCAGGGACAAGCGAGAACCCCCCAGGGTCCTACCTCAGCATTTCCCTGCTGCGAAATAGCTCCTGGGAGTCCCCCCACGGATGCAGAAGTCCTTATCCCAGAAATACAGCCCAGGATTGATACAACCCACCAGTTTAAACCACAGCAGCTACTGGTTTATTCTCTCCCAGCTCCTATAAATTCAGAATTAACTGCATAAATCCCAGCTGCTACCTGGATAAAGCCTCTTCTCCCGGGAACTCGAGCATCTTTACTCCCTTTTTTATATTTTTTTTTTTTTTTTTTAAATCTTTTCTTAAATCCTTTCCTTTAATGAGAGCAGGCAAATGAGGCCAGTGCTTCAGATCTCTGCGGGAAAACTGGCCCGTGTCCAGATTATTATAAACCAGCCGGTTTCATCCATTTTTAATGAACCTCTCGGGCTCGAGCTGGGATGTTTGAATTCAAAGCATGTCTACAGCAAGAAAAATCTCTGGGGCGCCCGCTGCCGTGACTAAGCGCTCACGAGGAGCCGTGCACGCACGTCATGCACTGATTTTTACTGGCTTTTGGAGAAAAATGTGATAAAAGATGACTTTTTGGGACGTTGGCAGAGGATTAACGTCATAAGGCTGGTTGAAATAGCTGCTGGGTTATTTATACAGTGTGGATATTGTCTGGGCAAGCTTTAATTCGAGGGGGGAAAAGTGTGTTATGCATGGGGAGGTGAAAAAGAGAAAGGGGAAAAGCTGGAGGATCAAGGATGGGGTAAAGGGTTTCATGGATCAATGGGTTTTCCAAGTGCTCAGTCAGGAAGTGGATGAGCATCCTGAAGCCAAAAGGATTCGCTGGTTCTTATCTACCTCCAGGATGTATTTCCAGAAAAGCACTTCTGCGAAAACCCCAAAAAAAAAAAAAAAAAAAAAAAAAAAAAGCAGCCAAGAACATCTGCAAAACACCCGGTAAAAGCGATTTTTTTCCATCGGGAATCGCCGGTGGAACAGCTTGTGTCCCGCTCGTTGCTGCCTCGTGTTAAAAACAAGGGGTTAACGAAGCTCTTCCCCCTCTATACAGAGGAAAAAACAGGGAGGGGAAAAAAAAAACCCAGAACACCAACAACTTTGCAGCAACATTGACTTCCCCATGGTAACGCTTCCCAACTGCGTTCCCATTCTGCCTCCTTAAAAGCTGAGCCGCTGGGAAGGGGAAGGAAGCGCCGACATCCTTTTCCCCACGATCCCAGGAGGCTCTTTGCTCCATCCCCCTATTTCTTTCCAAGCTCCTCTTTGCCACATCCCACTGTGGACCCTTTCCCCAAGCAAAACCCCTTTCAAAAGGTTTAGGGGCGATCAGGGGTGAAATTTTCTTGCTGCAATTCAATAAATTCAATCGAAACGCGTTGGAAGTGGCTTTAAGTAACGTGCAATAAGACGGGGACACTGATTTCTAGAGGGAAAATAAAATAAATAAATGCCTGTTTTCTATTTTCTCAAATAGAACTGCAGCATGAAGCAGCTGATCCCAACTGCCAAAATCCAACCGATCTGACCCGGCTCACCTGCGCTGCTCCCCGGAGCCTCCGTGTTCGGCGCAGCCTCCGTGTCCGTAACCTGGATATCCGGCAAGGTGCTGGGCTTCAGCACGGACCTGGCAATAAAAAAAAAAATCCCAAGCGATGGGTGCCCTGCCAGGGCGCAGCTGCAGAGGGAACCACAACCAGGATCATGTCCCACTCCGAAACCCCCCCGCTGTTATTCCCAAGATGGGAAGCAGCCCCATCTCCCTACGGATTTGGCAGGTAACCATCCCTCTAGAGTCACAGCACGGGCTGGTTGCAATATAAATCCTGAATTTTATCCTCTCCCGCTCCTAAAAAAACCCTTTGGAGGGTTATCCCAGCTGCTCCGTTCCCAGCCAGGGATGCTGAAGCCCGGAACGGCGTTTTTCCAAGCTCTGGCACAACCTGTGCAAGCAAAGCTGGACCTGCTCCTTTTTTCCCCGTTTCAGATATCTAAAAAACCAGGCAAAGCTCAGGGAAAAGTCACGCAAAACCCGGGCAAAAACCCAGGCAAAACTGGGCAAAATCAGTCAAAAATCAGTCAAAACCCCTTGTCCCTCCACTCACCCGTGGGCTCCCAGGTTGCAGCCGGAGTGCCAGGAGGAAGAGGAGGGCGGAGGGCGGATGCGCTGGTTGTCGTCCTGCATCTGCAGGCGGATGGGTCGCCGCAAGCCCCAGGAGATGTTCAGCAGCCCCTCCACGATGAGCTCGCCTTCCTCCTGCGCACAGACGGGCACCTCAGCAGCCGAAATCCCGATGGATCTTACCCACAGGTGGGTTATTTGGGGTTTTTTTTGGACCTCTCAAAGCTGAATCGAACCCATTTTCCTTCTCTTATCTCTGCTGCTAGAGATAAGGTAGTGTCCACCCACAGGGACTTCTTACCTCCCGGTGCCGCAGCTGCAAATTTTGCCCTTCATAGTAGATGTTGTACGTCTTCAAGTGCAAGAGCAGCTCATTTCTGGAAAAAAAAAATGGGAAGGATTGCAGAATCCTGGAATGGTTTGGGCGGGAAGGGACCTTCAAGATCATCCAGTTCCAACCCCACTGCCATGGGCAGGGACACCCTCCACTACACCAGGTTGCCCAAAGCCTCATCCAACCTGGCCTTGAACACTTCTAGGGATGGGGCATCCACAGCTTCTCTGGGCAACCTGTGCCAGTGCCTCACCACCCTCAGAGGGAAGAATTTCTGCCTTAGATCCCATCGAAATCTCCCCTCTTTCAGTTTAAAGCCATTGCCCCATGTCCTGTCACTCCCCGCCCTTGTCCAAAGCCCCTCTCCAGCTTTCTTGGAGCCCCTTTAGGCACTGGAAGGTGCTGGAAGGTCTCCCCGGAGCCTTCTCTTCTCCAGGCTGAACAGCCCCAACTCTCTCAGCCTGTCTCCAGAGCAGAGGTGCTCCAGCCCTCGGATCATCTCCGTGGCCTCCTCTGGCCCCGCTCCAGCAGCTCCGTGTCCTTCTGCTGTTGGGGGCCCCAGAGCTGAACGCAGCACAGCAGGGGGCTCCCACACTTCTTCAGTTGAGCCCAGGATACATTTGACTTCCTGGGCTGCAAGCGCATGTTGTCAGCTCAAGATGCTGAGCAAAAGTCTGGAGATGCAAGGGTGGGAGATTGGGGGCACCACTTGGTATCCAGCATGGTACCCCCTGAGCCAGCCGGGGGTAAATTTTGGGGAACTGGGAGAAAGCAGGAATTGCTTCCCAGGGTCAGGCCAGGCCATGAACCTGCTGTGCTGCAGACCCAAACCAGCTTAATTTGGGGCGAATTTGGGTCTTTTGCTGCCTCTAGACCTCCCTTATTGAGGGTATGTGCTGTGGGGTCAACCAGGAGTTGCCTTTTGCAACCACGAGTCGGGGGGCCAAGCTCCCCTGCCACTGTGCCCTCCACAAACCACACAAAAAGATGGAAGAAAATCTGTCAGGCCTCAGTGGCGTCAGTCACAAGGCTGAAAACCAAAGCAATTTTCGGAGCACCCAAACCCCTGGGTCATGCTGGAGTCACAAGTTCTCACGGGTGAGTTTATCACGGCGCCTCGTCGCTCCGGACTCCGACCTCAAGCTCCAATTAAAAGTCTGAGCCCTGCTCCAGTTGCAAAGGAATCATAAAAGTAAAAATAAAAATGAATAATAAAAATAAAATTGAAAATAAATAAAAGTGGAAGTGAAAGAGAATTAAAAGAAAAATAAAAAGATAGATTAAAAAAAGTAAAAATTAAAATACAGAAAAAGAGGAAAAAAAAGAAACCAGGCTGCCTAAGTACAGCTCCGAATCACGGGGCCGCGGTGCCTCCGGCACGAATTCCTGAAGCTGGGCCGGCTGCTGGAGGTTACGGATGCTGGGCACCATCAGACTGGTCTAATGAAGCACAAGTCAGGGGGATTTGAGGTTATGAGAAAGAAAAAAAGGGGGAAAACCCATCACATCATATATACTTTATCTCCTCCAAAATCTTCCCTGAAATTTAGAAATCCTTTTCTACTTCCTCTCCCAAGCATAAAAAAGCAATTACTAATCGGGACCATTTTCAGCAAAACCCGCATTTCGTGAAAGTTCATGGAGCGTTTGGCCACGCTCCTAAGAAAAAAGAAATCCAAAATAACATCAACACCCTCCCTTTTTTTTTTTTTTTTTAAAGAAAATTGCCATTTCTTGTCCCAGAACGGCTTTTTCTTTCCAAATCCAACCAAATGGAGTTAAACCCCAGGATTGCTCCCCTCCTCCCAGCTGGAAGGTGAAACCTCCCTGGGAATATGGCAAATAACTCCCCAGTTACCAGCCCCAACCCTATTTCATCATTCTGGTCCCCTCGAGCATCTTACTTGGAGATATATTTGTCTTTTCCGCAGGGGACCGGGTACTCGCAGCCGCCGTAATCCATCCTCCCGCTCTTCTTTCATGGGAGCTGAATGGCAGGGAGGGAGGAGAAGAAAAGCATCGGCGTGACCCCCCCGCTTCCCGCAGCCCGGGGATAGCGGGAAGGGAAAAGAAAGAAATAAATAAAATCAATTCACAAGGATTCAGAAGAGCTCTTGGGATGCAGCCGCGGGTAAACTTTGGTGTGGCTCCTCTGGAAAAAAAAATGATGGGAGAAGAAGGGAAATCAGATAAGGGGAGAAGCGGCGTAAACTCACTGAAAATTTAATAGGGGCAGCGCCACGCTGGCGCTAACGTTTGCATTTCAAGCGTCCGCGGGCCGCCCCGGCCATGCCAGACCTGGAGGTGGAGGGTCCTGAGTGGGATTTGTGCCTTTTTCTCCATTTATTTTACTAGATTTTTGCTACAAAACTACAGACACGTGGGTCTCCATCTGGCTTGACGCTTCCCCCTGCTGTCCCGACGCCGGGCAGCGGCGAGAGGCGCCGGGATCGTTCCTTTATCTTTTTTTTTTTTTTATGATATTGGTTAAATTTTTGTGCATTCTCTCGGGTACCAAAACATCTCCATCCCTCTTGTGCAAACACTTGGAAACTCCTTCCTCCCCAAAAAATCCCACCTTGGGAGCGGCCCCGCCTTTGAGGACGAGTGTGATTTTTGGATGCCACGAAGCGGAATTACGACGAGATTGAGGGTGAAGCCCTCAGGGCCAGAGCGCTTTGGAAACCAGACCTCCAAGTTGCAGCATCAGGGTGGTTTTGAGGGATGAGGAAGGGCTGCTCGGGTCGCTCCTTCCCTCGAGTGTTTGTGCAAACCCTCCTACAGACAGGCGTTCACTTTTCCAGACTCTCTCCTCTCCCTTCCCTCATCCAGAAAGAGAAACTGAGGCAAGAAAAGAGCATTTGACCCACAAACAGCTCTTTTCTTCCACCACCCACATCACCACGTGCTTCCTCCCAACCCCCTGGGGAACGAACCCAGTTTCCTGCAAAAAAAACCCCAAAACCCCTCACCCCACAACGACATCCAGGCGCATAAATGACGTGACCGAGGCCGCGCGGTGAAACCTGTGTCGGAGGAGCTGAACCCTCAGCACCGCGGCAATCCCGCTGCTCCCCCCGCGCCTCGGGATATATCCCAGCCGAGAAATTATCTGTGATGGCAGAAATATTCTGTTCTGTGCTTCGAACCGGTTGCAGAAGAGGTTGCAGAAGCGAAGCCGGTGGTGAAGCAGGCAGAACAGGCAGGGGAAGGGCAGGAAGCTGCCCCGGTCCCGGGGCTCCGGCTCTGCCCGGAGAAAAGCAGAAGAGAAACCCGCCGCTGTAAAAAATGACACGTCGCAACGGAAAAGCTGACAAAGCTCCGGGTTTCCTGACGAGCCAAGGAGCCGCACGGGCATCCCGGCAAAGCCTGGCACCAGCCCTCCTCCCGCGGCCGGCAGCTGCCTCGCCCGCATCCATCCATCCTCCCACAGGGAACAAACCCAATACTAATCCTATTTATCCATCAAAAACGATATCAGGAGGGGATTTCGCAGCTGGCTTTGTGGCTTTGGGATAAACGTCGGCGCCGCGGCACCTGCTGCGGCGGGGACCCGAGTTTGGGGGTGACCAGCTGTGGGATACAGGAACAGCGGGAATAAACATCTCGTTTGTGGGCGGCCTCTGAAAGCGGAAGAAAAAAGCTCCGGGGAAGTCACGGCCGAGGCGCTGCTGCACGGGGCGGGGGGTTGAACGCCGCGGCGGCTCGGCCCGTGTAAAAGTGTTGCCAAAAATACCAAAGTGGCTGAAATATGTAAAAACCCACCAACTACCTCCAGCGGCCGGGTGGAACCTTTGGTATCGCGGGGAGTTTCGCTCCGTGGGATCGTGGCAATATGAAAGGGCAAAGCCAAAGGCCGGTTCCCTCGAAGGGGTCAGGGGGCTGAAATCCAGCCAAAAAAAGGCTCGTTTGGGGCTGGAAAGGGAGCCCCAAATGCAGGTTCATCCCCCGCACCAAGGAGCCCGGTTTCCTGTTTACCGCCCCGGCGCTGCCACTTTCGCCTCCGTCATCACATCCCCTTCCGAGCAAGTGAGGA